GGAGGAATTTCTCTAGAAATAGCCGTGAAAACTGCTCCCAGGTCAATGCAGGCGATCCAACTGTCTGGTCAATGTATAATCTCTCCACCACCTTTTGGCGGAACCCGTCATCTGAAATACAGTAAAATCGACCCTATTGGTCTCAACTATACCCATGTTACGCAACACCTCATGGCAGCGGTCAAGATAATCATGTGGGTCTTCAGAAGGTGTACCACTGAAGTGAACTGGAAAGAGCTTAGTAAACTTATCCAGTCTCAATAAGGCCTCAGAAGACATGGCGAGCCTATCACCGGCATGTACCGCAATAACTGGCTGAACTATCCCAACTGGCGGGACTGCTGGAGACTGATTTTGGGGAGCCATCTGCTCTGAAGCGGGAGTAGTGGGAGTTTGTGCTCCTCCCCCAGCCTGTGAGATAGCTGGTGCTACTACAAATGTACCATTCTGGGCCACGCCCTCCATAAGACTCACCAAACAGACTAGAGCATCCTGAAGCACTGGAGTAGCTATGAATCCTTCCGGGACCTGAACTGGTCCAACTGGTACATTCTGAACTGGAACCTCCTCCGGAAGATCCACCTGAGGTTCTACAACAGGTGTTGTTGCTCGAGCTCTAGACTGAGCTCTACCTCTGCCTCTGCCTCTGCCTCTAGCACGACCTCGGCCTCGACCTCTACCCCTGGCCATAGTTACCACCGGGGGCTCTGGTCCCTATCCATCGGTAGATGTATTATGTGTTCTCACCATCTGCGAGAGAATAAGAATAGAATTGTTCAATCATCGATGATAGAATAAGATCGCACGACAGATTAAGGTAGAAGTGATGTTATTCCTAAACTTCATAGCCTCTGAGAGATAAGTACAGACGTCTCCGTACCGATCCTTCAGACTCTACTAAGCTTGCTCGTGACTCGTGAGACCTATATAACCTAGTGCTCTGATACCAAATGTCACGACCCGAAATTTATACCTTCGGGACCGTGATGGCGCCTAACATTTCACTTGCTAGGCAAGCCAACGTTAGAATAATATTAGCCATTTTAAAATAATTTTTAAATTAATTAACAACAAATAAACAAATGCGAAAGTAAGGTCTGAAATATAGTGAATAATCCATATTAATAGCAAAGTCTAAATACCACCCAAAAACTAGAGTCACAAGTGCACGAGCTTCTAGAATAATACAAATAAAGGTCTGAATAAAATTCACAGCTGAGACAATATAGAAGGGAAATTTAGAACTACGAACGTTGTGCAGTTATACCTCAAGTCTCCACTAGTAGATGTATCCGGGCAAATCTATGATACGCCGCTGGGACCAACTCTGAAATCTGCACAAGAAGTGCAGAGTGCAGTATCAGTATAACCGACCCCATGTACTTGTAAGTATCGAGCCTAACCTCGACGAAGTCTAACTTTTTAAACTCACAATTATTTTGTGACACGTGTCATGATTCCAACCATGCTACCGACTTGAAACACTTTGGGAATCATCAAAATTTCCACCACTTGTAAAACAGCCTGGTTTTGGTCTCTGTACTCCTACCAATTAGTTTCTCATCATATGTCAGAAGTAATCTTCCTTTTTCTTTCTCCTAATTGATTCAGAAAATAGTTATAAGGGAAAAAGGCTATTATTATCCATGTACTATTGTAAATAGTACACATTTTTCCTCAATTTCACTTTAGGTCTAAAACCTACTCTACCATTAACAAACTTGATGGAATTGCCCTTAACCCTAACGGATGGTCAATGTGGCAGTTGACCCACTCTATTTTTTCCAAGTCAGCTGCCAAGTCAGCCTAGTATCCACTCAACTATTCCCCTTCTCTGAGCCTAGTCTGCGGGTCAGCTGACATTGTCATCTTCACCCCAAATTCCAAAACTAGTCTTTTTTTTTTGTATTCAAAATAAAGCCTCTAAATTTTATGCTAGAAAAGAAATTTCAAACAGCAAATATTAGGTTCTTATTTTTTTTCTTGAACGCCCCATTTCAACTGCTGTTTTCCAACAAAGTTTTAGCTAGAAAGTAAGGCAATTAGAGAATGGGGATCTTTCAGGGTGGTTTACCATCTTCGGCATGCTAGTGATTCCGACGGCAGAGCTGCGGTCGGAGGAGTGGACTGTGCGGCGATGTTCAAAAAATGGAAAAACCTCCATTTTGTTAGATCCAACAAATTGCAAAGAAGAAAAAGAAAATAAGTAGAAGAAAATGAAGGAAGGGGTAACACAGTGGTGGTTTGGCCATTTTTTGGTCAAGATCTATAGTGGATCTCGCCGGTTTTCATGGTGATTATAAAAATAAAGAGGGAAAACAGTGAGAGAGAGTAGAGATAGTCAATGGTGGTAGCCTTGTGATTTTTCCGGCAAGTTTCACCGGTTCCATTTGCTTGTTGGTGGAATGGGGTTTCGGTTTGGATGATAAAATATAAAGAAAAAGAAGAAGAGAAGAAGAGAGATGAAGAGGGGGCCGGTACAGTGAAGGTTAGTACCGCTGGAGGAATTTCCAGAGAAGGGGAATAGAGTGGAGACTAGGCTGACTTGGTAGCTGACATAGAAAAAATGGAGTGGTCCAGCTGCCACATTAGCCATTCGTTAGGGTTAGGGGCATTTGTTAACACTAAGGTGGGTTTTGAACGTAAAGTAAAACGGAGGACAAACGTTTACTATTTACAATAGTACAAGGGTAATAATATCCTTTTTCCCTAGTTATAAACAAGCTAATCAAGAACATGCTTAGAAAGCTCTCGAACTAAACTCTTAAGTGTTATATCCCAAAAGATGCAGTACAATAGTGAATGTGTTCACCTGTCTGCAAACGCATATTGCTTTTCCCATGGATTTTTCTACCTCCTTCACTACCGACTTCAGGCCATGATTCACTCATCGATTGAATAGATGAAGAATCCCAATCTTGAAACTGTAAACTCAATTGCTTGGAATTCTGAGGACCTGGACCAGGAGAAGTCGACATTTGTAAATCCATAGAGGTCCACTCATGAGCAGTAATTATCATATTCCTCTTAAGCTTTATAAATGTATTAACCGTCATATTCTCATTTAGGATAATTTAATTCCAGCTGGTGAGACAAAACTTGCAGATGGAATATATTTAACTCATAATGTCACAATCCTCAGATGTATACACTATATATACATACATGTGCTTCTAGGTCCTTTTGTCACACATTAAATCGCAAGTAATAGTAATAGAGATGCTAAAGCATTAATTTTTGAGGGGTGGAATCGAGAACTAAATGCTAAATCATTTAACAACTCTCTTCTGCCTAAGGAGAGGAAAAGTAAAAATCCCTTCTTTGAAACCCAAAGAAAGGAAATAAAGGGAACAAACAGAGTAGTATATCCCTAAAGAACGCAAAGATAATCAGCATGTAAGTGGAGAACAACAAGATACAAGCCAATAAGAAATAGGAGAGTTAAACATCAAAATGCATAAAAATCCCCATATAAATAGATGGATTAGTTATTTACTCAAAAAAAAATATTCCCATTATTGCATGCACCAAATAGTAAACATAGCACCTTGTAGATTTTGAGAAAAACGGAGTTTGTAGTGCTGGGATTGAACTCACCATATCTCCATTATTCAAACCCATGATTCAAATTTTCACTCTCTTTGTAATCTCTATCTTCTAGGCTTTGCTGCTAAAAAGTCCAGTATTCACTGTAGACAACACTACTTTGGTTGCGAAAAGGACACAGACACTGAGTTCCCTCATTCACGGTTATTTCTTTTTGACTAAAGAATTAATATCCCATCAACAACTTCTTTTATCGTGCTGTGTGATGTGTAATTACAAGACTGTTCTCAAGGATGCAGAAATCCAGACTCCTCTTTCTCTTGACAATAATATACAAACCTCAAATATGAGTAAATTTAGAACAGGGGAGTTCTTTGCTAAGGTGCCCACAAACAGTGATTAAAACGTATTAGTTTGAATACAAGAAGACAACATAAGACTTGAGCGTTATGTTTGGAAGCTTTAATCAATTTCGGATTTCAAATTGATTCTTTTAGCCTTTTGATGAACATAGATTAAGTTTTGGACAAAGTGAGAAGCTAGCTATTGATTCAACGTATCTCCATAAACCTTTTTTTGTCTTAGCATGAAAAATAATAGTTTGATATATAGTCGAAAAATTGGATAAATTACACTAAACAATAGTTTAAAGCTATCCATGCAAAGCAGAACACCTTAGTGGGAAGTCTAGTCCTCCAAATGAGTTTCCAAGGCCAGTTTTCGATCATACCATTTTGAGAGCACAAATGTTTATAACCTGCTTTGACTGTGTACATGCCTTTACTGGAGTTTTCCCATTAAATTTTGTCTGAACATGACTCTGTAATATTGTGGCCTTCAATCAAAGTTAATAGGTTCAGAAAATCATCACTCCCAATCTTGCAGGTTCCTTCTGAAAGTGATATTCCATATGTTGCCCTCTCTATTATCAGCAGATTGCAAGCAATTGAGGCAAGTGCTGGAAATGATTCTTTAAGTACAATGTTCTCCAGCCAATTGCCTTTCCAGAACTTGACCTTTGCTCCATTTCCAACCTTGTAAGAGATGTTTTGCAAGAACTCATTCTTCTTCGCAGAGATGTTCTTCCAAAGACCAGTGCCATGTGATGATGTAACCGTCTTAGTGCACCAATTGTTCTGAGCTCCATACTTAGCAGTGATGACATCTTTCCAACAGACAGATTCCCCTTGTCTATACCTCCAAATCCATTTAAGAAGCATTCTTTTGTTGTGAAGCTTTAGATCTCTTTTACCTAAAACCCCCCATTGCCTTTGGTTGAATACATCTACTCCACTTAACAAGGTGGAATCTGTGAACTTGGATGTTACCCTCCATATAGGAATGTTCTTCTCATTTTGTCTAGCTTCTTGAGAACTGAACTAGGCATAGAGAAAAGAGTCATGTAGTATATTAGAATGTTGTCAAGTACACTATGTGAGTCTGCCTACCATGGATAAATATTGCATTTGCCATGTCGCTAGCCTCTTCTCAAAATTTTCAATTATGCCATTCCAGATCCTTGTTGACTTGAATTTTGCTCCAAGAGGTAGGCCGAGATAGGGGGTGGGAAGTGAGCCAGTGTTGCAACTGAGTATCTCTGCAAGTTCTTTTAAATTTGGGACTTCATTGACGGAGTATATGACAATTTTCAACATATTGATATGTAATCCCGATAAATCTTCAAAAATGAGGAGGGTTATGTTGAGATTCTGGACTTGTGTCTTGTTGGCTTCACAGAAAATTAAAGTTTCATCTGCATAAAGAAGATGGGAGACGTTAATGGTGTTCATTGGATCTCTTCCCACTTGGAAACCTTGTATCCAGTGCAATTGCTTTGCTCTATCCAACATTCTGGTAAGGCCTTCCATAGCTAGGATAAAAAGGAATGGGGAGAGAGGGTCACCCTGCCTCAATCCCTTCCGAGGAGAGAAGAATCCAACTTGTCCCCTGTTCACTAGCACATAGTGCTTTACAGTTTTAATGCACAATTCGATCTAACTAATCCATTTAGCTCCAAACCCCATCTTTTTCAGAATGTTGATGAGGTAAGACCAGCCCAATTGATCAAACGCCTTCTCAATATCCAATTTACAAAGAATTTTAGGAATACCACTTTTTGTCCTCCAGTCAAGCACTTCATTTGCTACAAGAGATGCATCAGAGATCTGCCTGCCCTTAATAAATGCATTTTGCTGCCCTGAAACCAGTTAACTCACCACCTTCTTTAGCCTCTAAGCCAAAATCTTTGCAGCTAACTTATAGACACAGCCGATTAAACTGATTGGTCTATAGTCCTTCAGCTCAGCTGCAACTTTCTTCTTTGGAACCAGTGCTATGAATGAGGCATTGCAAGATGATAAGTTATGTGTCCTGTTATGTTTTGATGAGCTGACAAACTTAATGTTAAGAACCAGATGGGAACCTGTTCCACATCCTCTGAGTGCTCAAAGATCAACAAGTCTCAAGTCTGGGACATACTCCAACTTTCAAAGTCCAAGAAACAATAGAGGGAACAGATCGATTTCAGTTCCCTTGCTGACTGTATCAGTCAACTCCCCACAGCTGTAAAGTGACTGCAACTGTTCCTCTGCATACATGTAACAGTACAAACAGTGGAGCAGTCACTTTATAGGGAATGTCCTTGTACCAAACATGCTTACATCATTTAAGTGATGTCACTTATGCAATATTAACATAAAGGAAAGGCAAAACAATACTTGCACACTCTAGAATTTATCAAGCTTTCTCTCAAGTGTATTGCCAACCTGCAAGTGACCTTCAAGGCGTCAAAAACAAAGAGCAACATAACGAGGGACCGGTTTCCAGCATTGAGTCATCATATTTCCTTGGTTGTGTAGCACCTTTGTCAAAGCAACTTACTTGTAATTCTTACTTAGCTTAGTTAGAAGCATTGTATAGGAAACCTTTGTAAACCATAAACCCTTGAGTTTGTATCTTGGCTAGAGTTAGTCGAATTGTAAGTCTTTGTAATAGAATTATTACAAAGTGTCTTGTAATAGAGTTGTTACAAGTTAGTGAGAGATTAAGAGGTTAATTCCTAGGTTACAATAGGTTGTAATCTAAAGTTTGCTCAGTAATGAAGTTGAAATCCTACAAGGGTAGGTTGCGGTTTTTAATCCTGTGAGCTGGGAGTTTTCACGTAAAACTTCTTTATGTCATTTACTTACTGCAGTGTGCGTGTGTTCTGTGGGAACTAATAGAGAACATGGTTCTTTATATAGTTTAGTGGACCCTTAAATTCTATCAATTGGTATCAGAGAAAGTTCTTTCTATCAGGCTAACACCTAGAAAGGATTCGCATGGCTGCTCCACCAAACTTTGAAGAAGGTCAATCAACCTACACACCACCACGATTTAATGGCCAATACTATGGATGGTGGAAGACAAGGATGCATGATTTTATCATGGCTGAAGATTCAGAGCTCTGGGATGTTATTTGCGATGGTCCCTTTATTTCTATGAAAACCATTGGAGAACCAGCAGTGACAGTTCCCAAGTCTAGGAAGGAATACAGCGATGCTGATCGCAAGTCTATAGAGAAGAACTTTCGAGCGAAGAAAATCCTCGTCTGTGGCATTGAGCCAGATGAATACAACAAGATTTCGGCGTGTCAATCTGCCAAGGAGATCTAGGAAGCACTCCAAACAGCACACTCGCTTCACCTCTATCATCAATGAGCTCCATTCTCTAGGAGAAATCATTCCAAGGAACAAACTTATCAGGAAAATTCTCAGCGTATTACCTGGTTCCTGGGAAAGCAAAGTAAATGCTATCACGGAGGCAAAGGATCTACAAAAGCTAACCATTGATGAACTCATTGGTAATTTGAAAACTTATAAAATAAAGGAAAAAAAGGATCATGAGAGGAGAGATCCCAAAAGGGAGAAGAACTTGGTCCTTAAGACAGACAATAATGAATCAAGTGGTGAGGATGCTGATATAGCTTACTTGACAAAGAGATTTCAGAAGATGGTCCGCTAAAATAGAGGTATTCCAAAGAAGGGAAGCTCCAGCAAGCCAAGAGGGTATGACTTATATCATAAGTGCGGGAAACTAGGGCACTTCATCAAGGATTGCCCTCTCCTCAAGCAAGACCAGTACAAGCACAACATAGACAAAGCAGCCAAGAGGAACCCGGTTCCTGACAAAAGATTTAAAAGAAAAGAAGTTGCTGATAATGTTGTGAAACAAGCTCTTGCTGCATGGGGAGACTCTTCAAGTGAATCTGGAAAAGATGATGCACAAGGTGATACCTCCATGATGGCAGTAGAAAGTGAAGGAGATGATTATGATTTCATTTTTGCCATGATGGCAAAATCTGACGATGATGAAGATAATGATGATGATGAGGTAGACTTTCTAGACGTTCAGAGAAATCTGAAGTTTTACTCTCAGAAAAAGCTCATATCATTAGGAAATGTTTTAATTGGCGCTTATCACAATCTTATAAATGATAAAAATGCCTTAAATATAGAGTTAGGAGAGGTAGAAAATGAGAGATGATTTGGTAGTTGTAGTGGCCGACCTAAAAGAAACCATCGAGAATCTAGTGAAAGAAAAAAGTGTTCTAATGAAAAAGGTTGAAAACATAGAAAATGAGAGAGATGACTTATTAGTAGTCATCATGGACCTAAAAGAAATAATAGAGGAATTAAAATGGAGAAACAATTTTGGGACTGTTCAAAAAGGGAAGGAAGTTGCAAGTGAGGCACATATTAAGCTTGAAAATGAACTACAATCTATGAAATCTAGTTTGTGTGCTGAACTTAAAAGAAACAGACAGCTTCAAGAAGATCTAGGCAGAGCTAAAAATGACCTCAAAAAATCTCTAAAGTGGACATGATCCTCTAATACAATTGCTGCTATGTATACAAGCAATGGTGGGAACAGGCAGGGAGTCGGGTTCCAAAGGGAAAAGACTCCCTAAAATCCACATAGCAAGTATGTTACTGTCCCTGATAACCGGCTTTGCACTCACTGTGGCAACACTGGTCACTTTAAAGAAAACTATAAGGCTAGAATTCAGTCCCAGCAGAAAAATAAAGTGTTTGTTGAAAAAGTAACTACTGCTAAGGAACCCGGTCCCTCCGTTAAAAAAGGTATACTGCCTGCCTGGATAAAAAGAAGTTTAATTCGACCCTTTCCTCACTACAAGGGACCCAAACTTGTTTGGATTCCTAAGTCTAACCCTTGATTTTCTTGTGCAGGGAGCAGTGAAAGGAAGCAGCAAAAAATGGTACATAGATAGTGGTTGTTCTAAGCACATGACTGGAAGCATCAATGATTTTTTTTCACTCAAAGCCCTGCAAGGAGAGAGTGTGTCCTATGGCAATGGAAAAAAAGGATACATTCCAGGAGTAGGAAGAATTGGAAAGTCACTCACCCACTCAATTGAAAATGTGAACGGCTTAAAATAAAGCTTACTGAGTATTTCCCAAATCTGTGATAAATGAAACAAAGTTGAGTTTGTGTCAAAAGTCTGCACAGCCACAAACCTTGTGACTGGTGAAGTGGTTCTAGTGGCTAAAAAGTACAAACATATCTGTGTTGCAGATTTTGAGTCCTTGCAAAATGAGGATCTCACTTGCTTGAGTGTTGTTGATGATAATGCTGAGCTCTGATACCAAGTTATCACAACCCAATTTCCACTATAGGCCGTGATGGCACCCAACGTTTTAAGGACCACAAGGTATGTGATGCATGCGTAAAAGAAAAGCAAGTCAGATCCTCCTTCAAGCCCAAAAAGGAAGTGAGTACCTCAAGGCCACTTGATCTCGTCCATATGGATCTGTGTGGACCTATGAGGGTGCCAAGTAGAGGAGGAAAGAAGTATATCTTTGTTATAGTGAATGATTACTCCAAATTCACCTAGACCCTGTTTCTTAGAACCAAGGATGAAATCTTTCCAGTATTTGTTGTATTTGTGAAGAAGATCCATGTGAAAATGAGCCATAATGTGGCGTGTATAAAATCTGATCACGGCACAGAATTTGACAATGTC